CGGGATGGTGCCCAGCAGCCATACCCTCGCACACCTCCCCGGCTGTACACGTGGGCATGAGATTTATTGCTCCCACGCCCCAGTGCCGGGAGCCCTTTGCCTCCTTCCAACAGAAAGCAAAGGAGGTGAGAAGTAGCCGAATGGTGGAGGGCAGCCCTTCTGCATGTCTGGGTCCCTCTCGCATCCCTGGGGCCAGCGCCGGCTGGCAAGTGGGGCAGGATGGATGTCTTCACCCAGCTTCAGGGTGCTGCGACCTAGACACCTGTTCTCAAAGACCTGGGGTAGCTTCAGCTGCATTTGCTGAAGCAGTCATAGATTTTGCAGCTAACCCCATCACCAGCCCTCCCCGCACCGATCAATCCCGTGACAGCCGAGGCACAGCTGCCCGCACTTCGGCCTGCACTTCGCGGCGGGGTAGGGGAGCTCTGTTGCCCCCCAGGCAAAGGCTGTGTTCACTGTTAATGCCCGTCAAGGCTGGCAGCGCCCGGGGATGTCTATAACCCCAGGCAGCAAGGTGTGCTGCAACAGCACAAGGTGTCTGGACTCCCCAGCTCCCCACAGCAGAGCAGAGGGCCTGGTGTCACCCGCCCAGCCCCTGTGATCTGTGCAAACCCCGTGTTCAACACCAGCAGCCCCTCAAACATGGGCTCTGCCCTAACGCACGCCTTCCCTCCCGCTCCCAGCCCTGCCACTTGCCCCCAGGCTGCTGCACCCCAAAGGGTGCCAGGGATGCTCCCTGGTGTACTGGGGAGGACGGGACCAAGGCGATCCCAGCCCAGCGTGCACAAGCTGGGCTAGGGCACTGGGAGGCAGGATTGCTCCACGGCCTTTCCCAAGCACAGCTTTCCAGACCCAGTGCCCTGCAGGCTCCAGCCTGGACTTTGGGCAGGACAGGCTGCTTCCGGGACAGGTTACAAGCAGAGCACGCAGGGGGGCTGTGACAGAGACCCAGCCCTGGGTCCCCCTAAAAGTCTGCTGGAAATGTAAAGCAGAGCAAGAAACTGGACCCTCTCGCTTCCACAAGAAAGGCAGCCTAAGAGGTTCCCTCTTACCATCCAGGATATGTCCCAGCACCAGGAGACTGAAGCAGAGAAGATGCAGCCGCTGCATTTTGCTGCTGAGTCTGGCAGAGGATGGGCTGGAGGCAACAGT